AAGGGTGTGAAAACCAGAAGGTGGGCTTATGCGGGCTGTCTTGGACGTTGGCTTGTAAGACCTGTTCTGTAGCAGGGTCTTGTCTACAAAGGTCTTGTCTATGTCTCAATTCCTGCGGTTCCTGTTTGAGTTTGATTCTTCAGTATTCCTGTCAATTCTATAAACCTCCTGATCCCTTCCAATAATATTCTCTTCTACATATTTCAATTCACCAGTTCTGTCTTTTCTTGCTTTCAGTGACAACCCTGACTAGAACGGGTGCTACGAGGGAGGACAGCAGTGGAGAAAGTGGGCTGGTGGTGGAGGAAGTCAGATAACATGATCAGGGTGGCCTCTCCAAAGAGGTGCCCTTTGCTCGAAGACCTGAACGATGAGGTAGTCAGTGGATGAAGAATGGGAGGAGGGGTATTTCAGGCAGAGGGAGCAACACAAAGGGTCTGGGAGGCTTGGATGGCTGGGATGTAGCAAGCAAGTGGGCAAGTGGAGGGAGAGATCAGCAAAAACCAGATCACATAGGATTTTGAAGCCATGGTGAAGAATTTGAACTCTCCTCTCCCAACCAATGCCATTCCTTATTCCAGACATCAGAGCCCAAGAAGGCTGAGGACCAGACCCAAGGTTTCCTTCTCTAGGAATCAGGATCAGCCAAGTCAAGAAAAAGTCGTGATCATGATAAAGAACTTGTATACTTTGTAAACTCACCTATCTGTTTTGTTGGCTCTTGGGTTTCTATAACTTCTGGTGGGGTTATTTCCTGAGTTTCTTAGTTCCCTCTGATAAATCCCTTCTGCTTAACTCTGCTGAGTTGAAGGAAAAGATTTTTGCCCACAGCTGGGCCTGGGAATCCCAGCTAGAGAGCCCAGTCATCTGATAGAGATTGACACCTACCCAAGACAGTGTGGAATGAGCAGGTGGATCCTAATGGATCCTTTCAGTCTCATATAGTTTCACCTTCACTTGACAAATGCTTGTTCAGCATCCAGCATTTGCCTGGGCTCTTTGTGGGCATCAGGGTACAAAGATCCTTCTTCCCAGGGATCAAGTTAGGTAGAAGGGATGACCCAGTCCAAATGTTATTGAGTGGGAGTTCCCTGTTACTTAGGAATTGGCACTATGACCTCAGCCCTATGTACCCTGTATTCCAAATGGGAACCAGAGTTTTCTTTCCTTCCAATGTTTGCTAAAGGGGGCAGAGCTGGTCCTATATCCCTTAGCCAAAACATCACTTTCTTTTTCCTTGACCATCTAATATTCCTAGGGAGGGAGGAGTTCTTTGGTTTTATTGAGGATTATATGTTATGGTGGAGGACAGCCCCCCCGCATTTTAATTGGGAGTTTCTCATGGAGATTAAGGGGAGACTGCGAGAAATGATGCTGAGTTGTTGTTCCCCAATGGGGATCTACTTGGTAATGGGCTTGCTGATGTCCCCCTGTGCCTATCTGAGCAGGGTAGAAAAGAGGTGAAGAGAGGGGTCATTGTGGAGCAGCTGGCCAGGATGTGAGTTTCTCTGGATCAAGTGGACCCTGCAGTAGTTAGCCAGGTTTTCTGGTATCCCACCCAAGCAGGCTGACTAATGAGAAAGAGGGTCTCCCAGTGTCAGGAGCCTAGGTGGTGGCGCAAGGTAGGAAAGTTCAAGCCCGAGCTGGATGTCCCCTGCCAGAGAACTGTGCAATGGGGAAGCCCCCAAGAAACTAATTAATGTGCCCCATGAGAAGCCATGTATGGATGGACACTTGCCACTATGATTTGGCAGGGGAAGCAGGGTTGACCAAGAGGGAGGAGGGCATTGCAGAAGGCTATTCCCATTCTCTCCTCCCAATTTCAGTAAGGGAGAGTGTACTGGAGTATGTCTCACAACCAGGCCATACCTCCCACCCCCCCGCCCACCCCATGTTTTTATTCAAGCAGGCAGGGACCTACCTGGCTCAAGTCGACCCTTGGATGAGTAAGGGAGAAGATAAAATGAGATTTAAATTGAGTTTGAGAATAAAGCTTTCAAGGATGGAGGTTTAACAACAGAAAGTGATCCAAAAGTAATGCAATCTGCCCGAGATGTCATTAAGGGATGGAAAAGGGAGCTTCAACACAGCATGGCTGAAGACGGAGATTAGGGGGAAAAAATTTCATTATTATGCCCCACTGAGTTGAGTCGCCTCAGTACACTGGTTTCATGAGTAAACAGAATAATTGAAGTACAGTGTAGTACTTGCTTAGGTAAGCTGCCGCAGGGTTCTGAGAGGGCACGGGGAGTTAGGCGTGCACATCCCAGCTTGGCTTTTGGAGACGGCTTTCCAGAGAAGGAAGCAGCACCTGAGCTGAACCTCGAAAGGTGAGAAGTTGGTCTGATGAAAGGAGAGTGAAGAAGGGCTTTCTAGGCAGAAGTGACACCACAGTCTGGAGCAGCAAGTTGAAGGGAGGAAGGACAGTTAGAGATGCAGGCCAGGAATCCCATGGCCTTGAGGTCCTGTGAGTTTAAGGAGTGAGGGCTTGGAGAGTTGCTTCAAACCTGGGAGCAACACAATCTGGTTTGCATATTAGAACCATCTGGTTGACAGATTCTGGCAGTGCTGTGGACTTGGCCCCCAGACACACTTCTTACTCATTCACTTGGCCCTATGACCCCCATACCTTCACAAAGGCCATTTTTTTCTGTGATTCAAAAATCCTGGGTCCCCACTCTTTTGACTGTCCTTTGCTCTACTCCTACCACTGAACCCTTCATAATTCCCCTCTTTGATGGGACTCTGAAATATCACCACCCTCCCCATAAGTCATCTTCTTTCTTCCTTCAGCATACTCTTCTCAGCCCAAGAGAATTCTCTGCCTTCTCTGGGCCTGTACCCGCCAGCACATGATTCCTCGAGATATGCATATACTAAAATATCTTCCCTTTATCTTATCTGGTCTTCGCCCCATGGGGCAACCCAGAGGCTACTATTTATTCTTTCACACATTAATTTAAGCAACTTTAATTGCTGCTCTGATATGTTTTATATAATATAATTAATGTTTTAATTCTGTGTACTTGCTTCCCAAGGCAGTTTTGTGAAGGGCCCAATTTTGGAATCAAGCAAATAAAGAATAAGTAATGGCTGAAGTTATTATAGTAATGCCCCCCACCAAAGGAATTAAAACCGTGCTTGTTTTTCTGAAGTGGGTTGAAAAGGGAAAAGATATTTTAATGTTCTCTTCATCTTGGGCAAGTTTGGGTGGCTTTCATGAAGTCCCCTGGATGCTGATTTCAAGTGTTCCTGGACTGTTGGCATCTGACCACCAGCTTGAGGTCTGTGTTTTGACTACCAGCTTTGCACCTCCTGCTTTCACATCCTTTATGGTGGAGGCTGTGCTTAGAACGAGCAGTTACCAAACCCACTCCCTCACTCATTTATTCATTCAGCAATTGTGTATTGGTATTCTATTATGTGCCGAGGGCTGGAATAGATTCAACTCTGCCCTCAAGGAGCTCACAATCAATTGGGCCAGGCAAACGATGTTATAGTCCAGCACACCAGTGCTGTGGGAACATGGGGGAAAGGGAAGGCGAGCTGGAGTATCTACCTCTGTCTCAGGGAGTTAAGAGGAGGTGAAATTTAAACTGGTTCCAGGAAGGAGAAGGGAAGGAAGAAAATGGCAAGACACAGTAAGAAAAATAGTAAGAAAATTGGGAGAAGATGAGCATGGCTGAAGCCAGCGTGCGTGGGAGGAGGTGGCAGGGAGTGAGTGTGGGAAGGGAGATAAGGCCTGAGAGAAGGAAGGGCTTGCTGTGCCAGGAGGAGGAGTTCCGACTATCCTGAGGGCATAGGGGAGCCTGAAGAGATTTTTCAGCAGTGAAGTGCTCTGATCAGATTAGATCTGAGGTTCACAAAGAGAACTGCAGCAGTATGAATTGAGAGAGAGAGAGAGAGAGAGAGAGAGAGCGAGAGAGAGAGAGAG